GCCCCGTCCACTGACCCCATTTCCCCAGAACCCCCTACGCCACTCCTATAACCTGCCCCGTCCACTGACCCCATTTCCCCAGAACCCCCGATGCCACTCCTATAATCTGCCCCGTCCGCTGACCCCATCCCTCTGAGGCCCCCTGAACCATCTCTACAGCCAGCCTTACTCCCTGGCTCCACTCCCCCAGGCCCAAGATCCCTCGACCCTCCTCCATAAGCTGTTCTGCCCCCAGTTCCCTGAGGCCCTGGCATTTGTGACCCATCCTCATGACCCAGCACATTGCCAGACCCATAAGCCCACTGGCTCCCAGAACCAGCCCCAGCATGAGGAGCTAGTGCCTCAGGGTGCCTGGCATTGTCCCAATGCCCAGTTCCAGCTGCGGATGCCCTGGCACCAAGGTACCTGGTCCCGTCCCCATCCCCCGCTATGCCTTCTGCCCTCAGAGACCCAGGCTCCATGGTTCCTGGATGCCCAGATCCATCTTCACAGCCTCTTTCTCCAAAGGCCCCCAGCGCCCCTGAAGCGCGGAAGCCCCCGTCATCTCCAGTCTGACCCCGAGGCTTGATTCTTCCAGAGCCCCCTGCTCCTGCTTCCACGCGTTCCTCCCCAGCAGTTTCCACTGTTCTAGACGACTTGAGGCCACCTCTACCCACAAACCCCACTGTCCCAGGACCTCCTAGGTCATCATCAGAAGGATGTCCTCTCCCAGGGCCCATTTCCCCCTGGCCTCTGGATAATTCCCAATTCCCAGCTTCACCCACGGGCCATCCATCAGGGCCACCTGAGCCATTCTGGAGACTGGTCGCTCCAGGCCCCCTTCCTGCGGGCTCACAACCATCTTTGTTTCCAGACTGCATTCCCCCAGGCACCCCTGAGCCATGCCTGTAAGTACCCCCTTTCTCAGACTCTGTTTCCACAGGTGCCCTAGAGGTGACTCTACCAGCACAGTGACCAGAGCCCGTTTCTCCTGGCACCCCTGAGCCATCGCTATAACCAGCCCCTTTTTCAGGACCTTTTTCCCGGGAATAATTTAAGCCATCTCCATACCTAGGCTTCATCCTCCCCAGACCTCCTAAGCCATCCTTATGGCCCATGTCTCTTCTGGGTCCTTTTTCTCCAGAGTTCCCCAACCCATTCCAGAAATCTGGTTCAGACTCTGTTGCCCCAGGACCTCTTAATCCTTCTGTGTCTCCTCGTGTCCTCCCAGAGCCCTGAGCATCCAGCCCTGGAGACCCAATTAGCCTGTGGCTTCTGGCATCCACTCCCTGACCAGATTCTGTCGGCCCAGCCACCTGGGCACCAACCACACCCCCTTTCCCTCCACTGGACCCCAGCACTTCAGGCCCATGGTGGGCCCCTGTTTTTCTGAGGCTGGACCATGTGTCACCCCTAGGACCTGTGCTCTCAGACTGTGTTCTGCTGGGCCCCCCTGCTCCCCTCTGACTCTCTGTCCAGTCCTGGGAAGACTGGTGGCTTCTGGAACCATCCCTTGCCCTGCCCAAGGCCCCAGCTGTCTCCTGGCCATCCCTTCCCCTGAGCTCCTGTAAGCTGCCTTCCCAGTCCCTGGGACCTCCTGGGCCTCCAGGGCCTGTTTTATAGCCTCTTCCCACAACAACAGACCCCCCCGGCCCTTGGGCATCCGCCTCCTGCAGCGAGCCCTCAGCTTTGGCCCCAGAACTTCCACTGCCCTGGAGAAATTTTCTGGATATTGGTGATTCCTGGAAGTCCTTTCCTCCAGATGTCTGTCCTCCATACTCCCCCGGCCCCCTGTAGCCCCTGGCTTCCCCGTGATCAGTATCTCTACCTCCCTGAGAGCCCCAGGATTCAGGGCCCACACCTGCCTTGGAGCTAGAACCTCTTCCTCCAGGAAAGTCCAGGGTGCCAGGACCTCCTACCCCACCGCTATCTCCAGCTCCCCCCAGGCCAGGCCCGCTACCCCACACTGCCCTTGCTGCTCTTCTCTCCCTTTCCCTACTCAGACTGTCCCCTCCTTCCACCTCATCCAAATTATCACCCTGAGGAACGTTCTCCTTCCCTTCCCCTTTCAGCCAAGACCCACGACTGGACTGGGGTCCCCGCAGGGCCCTCTTTCCTATCCCAGGCCCCAGCTGAGCACCCCAGAGCTGTTCCTGGCCATGCCTATCCAGTTGACGTCTGTGGTCTTCACTGTGCTCCTTTCCTTCCCTGCTGCTCCCTGGTCCTCCAACCTGAGGCCCACTGGACCCAGCCTCCCAGCCTCCTGCCGTCCCCCAGCATCTACCACCATCGCTGTCCCTGCCGTGATCTTGCTGTTGTCTCTCTGTGAGGACCAGCCCTGGTTCTGGGCCCTTTCCTTGTAGATGGGACTTCTCTGGAAGGCTTGCACCCCAGCCTCCCCCTCTGTGGGGCTGATTTTCCCCAGGAGTGACTCTGCCTCCCTCTGCTTCTAGAAAGGCCGTTCTCTCCTGCTCAGGGCCCCAGGCTGGGTCAGCTGCTTCTTCATCTCCTATGGAGGAGTAGCCATGCCTGCCAAGGCCACCCCCGTCTGGGCCAGCTGTGAGCTGGAGCCCAGAAGCCAGCCCAGCCACCTCGAGGGAGTCTCTCATGGAGCCCTGCTCTCTGGGTTTCCCTCCCTCACTACTGATGGTCCCAGAGTCTTCTGCTTCTGAGGCTCCATGCGCCCGTGGCTGGTGGTCCAAACTTGCAGTCTGAAGGCCTTTATCCTTCCCAGCTTCAGTGAGGTATTATTT